ATATGTATATAGATATATATGTAGACGATATATATATATATATATGAAAACGTCAATCATTCAATCGATCATTCGATCAATCCAATGACTTCGGTTTATGGTTTGGGGTTTCTGACATGTCATCAAGTTGGTCACTCAGTCGCTGAATCGGATGTCTGTAAGGCGGTCTGGTCGAAGGTCAATCTGTCAAGAAGTTTGTGAGTCTTTCTCTAAATCAGTCTCTTTTCCAGAGCATCGGTGACAATGCAAGTCACTGAGTCTGTCATCCGATGACTGTTTGATACAGGACCGGATGTTGTTATTTTCGCCATTTGGCAGGTCATCGTTTTTGAGATTGTGTTGTCGGCGTTGCACCGTCCACCACAGACCACACGCACGGCGCGGGAGAGGGCCGCCCATCTGTCATGGATGAAGCACCAGTCAATTTCACGTCTGATGACGGTAGGTCAGCAGAACGGCCATCCACTTTGCCTGCGCGTGGCAACGCCACGCCGGTGTCACCGCATGCCGGACAGCGCGGTTTGCTGGGAGTATCCCCTTATGGCAGCCCGGATGACATGCGATCAACAAAGAGGCCTCGTGCTCACTGTCTTTCGCCTACGGTCGTCGTCACTTCCGGCGTTGCAGTTGTGCATTCTTCGATGCCGCCTTTGTTGCCGTCTGCAGCGCGCCGTCCATACACTCCAGTACACCCTCTGTCAGACTTCGATGCATTTTCAGTGCATTATGTTTTCCTGTGTTGTCGCCGCCATTGCAACCTCGCCGTTTGCAGTTTCTGTCGTGTGCTGCGTAGCCATTTCCTCGTTCACTTTTCGTTGGACGCGACGGGTTGAACTCCATCCCCCTAGAGGGGTGTTCTCAATCATCGGGAGCGGTGTTTGGAAGTGGAGGGTCCACACTGCGTGACGGAGGACGTCGGAGTGTAGAACCGCGGGTCTCACATTTGTTCGCCGCATCAGGTCATGGGCAGGGGGGTGTATTGGATGATGCACGTCGTGCCTCTGCCGAGGACACACATGACCGTAATTCCGCCCGTCGCTCTCTCGTCTCCCGGTTCGACGAGGATGACAATGTGTGTGGTAGCGGAGATGGGCCCGACCGTTGCGATCCTGGCGCTCAAAATCTTGGTGCGGGTCGTTCTGAACAGTCGGGCGGGTCTTTGGGCCAATTTGGTTCGCAGTCAACTGGTTCCGCGAAGTACTTTCGTTTGTTCCTGACTACTGCTTGCAAGGAGAGAGTGCGCCTTTTACAATTTGCGATGAAAGAAGTGAGCGACAAGTCTGGGGTTATGAGCGATGTCGTCGACCGACTGTTGCATTGGTCATTGCCAGTCATCCGGTCTGAGTTCGGGGACGGTGTGGCGTCGAGGATCGAGAGAACACTATCGGCCGGCAGCCGTGCAGATGTGTTTCGTCTCGGAGTAGGAGGGGATGATTCGACAGCGGACGGTAAGGATGATGGCGAGCGTGAGGGTGAAGGGAGCGGTGGAGGCAATGGTGGGTCATTTTGTAGGTCGGATGATTCACGATCGCGTTCAGGGCACGGGTCACGGCGTGGCCGCAGATCGCGCGGGCGGCCACCAAGCCGTGGCAGGTCGCGTTCGCGTTTCGAACATGTACGTCCTTTGTGCTGGGACGATTCGAAGGATGGTGCTCTGCAAACTGGACCTTGCAAGAATCGGTCTGCACATGTGTTGGAATCGATGGGGCTCTGGGAAGGCTCGAAAGCGCCTGATATCGTCTTCGTGGAGCCGGTGAAGCTGCTGCAGTTGCTCGGGTTGTTTGATTTGAGTTGCCCGCGCCACGGGGGCGGTTGTGCTGTGGATGTGTCCTATGTCGGTTATCCTGGGCAGATTTGTCGCATTTCGCTCGCTTGTGAAAAGTCTTGTCGTTGGACATGGCACAGTGCACTGGTTGGGGGAGCTGTGTAGTCTTGCAGACTTCAGCATCAGTTGTTCCATGCGACCGTCACTGCGGGTATGACATATACCGTCCTCAATGACTTCTGCATCGCGTTTGGGGTGGCACCTGTGCACAAGCCCACTTTTTACAGTTGCATGCGTGGTGAGCCGAATGTGCGTGAGGGTTGGAATGCAAAGGTTGTCAGGCAAAGCGTGCGGCATTGCGACTTGGCCATTGACACGGTTATGCGATCAGGGAGACCTGTCACTTTGATGGTTGACGGTCGCTACGACTCGGCCATGTCTGCGCAGCATTGCATCACCGCGATGGAGTGTGATACTCGTCTTGTGGTGGGTGTTCACACTCTTCGGCCAAAAAATGAGGGAAAGGCGTTGAACCAACATGAGGTTCCTGCTGTTGTGCGCCTGTTGAGAGGCCTGCTGTCGAGGGGGTTGAAGATCCGGTGTGTTGTCTCCGACGATTGTGCTGCATTGGGTCCACAGTTGGAGCGCCTGGGTATTGAATGGCAGAAGGATTGCCATCATAAGGTAAAAAACATTCGCAAGACACTTAGAAAAGTTGTGACACTGAAGGTGCCAAAGAAATTGAGCAACCCTCATCAGTGCGTGTCGGAATCTCAGTTTATGCAATTCACGAAGGAGTTGTTGGATGCCTTGGCGGACCATTATGGACCAGGGTCTTTGACGACAAAAGAAGAACGATTGAAGAAGAGCGACTTCGTTGCTCTTGTGATGAGCAAAATGTACCCGTACGGCACGATGAAAAACAACAAATCCTTGGTCGTGGATGCAGATGGTGTGACCGAGTTTCATATGCATGAGGTGGGGCATTGGTTTCTTCGTGCTTCCCAGCTTTGCAGAGATGAGGGCGGTGACTTTGTTACTCTGCACAATGATGTCATGATGATTGCTGACCATTGGGGCGGGGACCACTCCAGGTGCGTTGCGGACAGAGAGCTTCTATGCTCAAAGGCGGGTGGCCCATCTCGATTGCCTCTGTACACGCACGACAACCCCGTGTATGACATCATTCGCCAGACGTTGGGCAGACATTGCAGCACGACCGTTTGTTCGTACTACACGGAGTTCCGTCACACGTCGAGGTTGAGATCTTCCAGGGCACAATCATCATTTATGCGAAAAAGGCCTTGCACTTCGAGAAGTCGTATGAGCCGCGTTTGGCGATTGTAGTCATTCGATGGAACAGTCATGCATGGCAGGATCCCTTGGAGTATCGTGTCCGCAGGCCTTCTGGGATTTCGATTCGTCCAAAGCCGAGCCACTACCGTCACAATCGGCCACCTACCGATTTGTGGATGGATCGGTTGTCCACGTTCATCTTCGGTTCAAAATGTGTTTCAGATTGGGCTCGACGCCTTCTCGAGTACGACGACTGTGATGTGTCGGGTGAGGTCGGGTCCTCGATACCTCCTTTGCCTCGCGATCTTTTTTGCAGAGGCGAGGATACCATTGACCGTGACGAGGACGACGTTGTTTCAAGTGCGGATCCCGACCTTGTGGGGGATGACGATGTTTTCATCATTGGCGACGGGGATGGGTTGCCTGGACCGGCGGATGCCGTGTCCGATCGATCATGCGATGCTCTATTGAACGCAGATGATGTCGAGTTGTTCGAGGACTGACATCATGTTATGTCGTAGTATCTTGTACACGCGACTTTTATGTTTTTCGGCTTCTTAGTTTGACGTGTTGATTGTATATATATATATATACTACCCCGTAGGGTTAGATTTGTAATTTCGTTTGACTCGGGCGTAACCGTGAGACCAACCTGTGAGGAAAATTCGTGAGGGTCACATCTGTAAATATGGGAAATATAGGTCCAACATTATTTTGAATTTTCTATACGTACACTTGCTGCGAATAGCAGGCCCGAACTACCCCTAGGACAGACAGGCCCTAATGGCCAGATCTGATGGACGGTCCTATAGCCTATAGTCGGGTCCGGTAGAGGCCGAGAGGGCGAAACTGCAACGGTATTGGTCGGTTAGTCAGTCCAGTCTACGTGTAGGTTAGAGTACTGTATTCTATTAGTGGAATGAGGGAAATCGATTGGGGACGAAGCGACTGTAACAAACTGTGTTCTGATATTCGTTCGAGTTGGCTCATTATCTCTTTTTCTATCAATTGTGATTTTGCAGAGGTTCTTTATTGTGATTGTTTGTTGGGAGTCTGTCGGAGAGTGAGAGTCATTGTGTGACCTCGTCGATGTGTGCATGGTAGAATTTCGCTGCTTATCCTTGTCTTTGTGCGTGATTGACTCTGTCACCTCTCCCCCTCTTGTTATGCATGTGTGGGCGTGGTTTATATTGTATGGGTGGTTAGGTGTTTTAAAAAACAAAATCGTGTCCCCCTGTTCTTATGCATGTGTGGCCGTGTTTGAGAATGTTTGTGTGTGAGCGCCGGAAAAAATCGTAAGACAACCAAGTGATATATAGGGATTCTAGAGACTGTTGAGGTTCAGCCTCCTGATGAGTCGGTGAAACTCCGACGAAACAGTTTGTCACAGCCCCTCGTTTGTTGTCCTTTTCTCCCTCTCTGCCTAAGGTTTACCGGACAGTTTTATTTGACGATATATATATATATATATTTCTCACACATCTGATGGTATCTCATGTTTTGTGTTTGATTTTTTTATTTTTTTTTCTCTGCGTATAGATATTATTGGACCAATGTCGAGTTACACATACATCCATACTTCACATGCTTACGCACTAAGGCAACAGTTGGATCGCACATTATATAGCCGAACCAATTCAGATTTTCACGTTGATCCAATATTGCAATGACATTCAGTTGCAACAGAAAATGAATGAAGTTGAGTGGCGAGAGCGAGGATTAGAATCGACTTCATTGCCAATGGTACAATAACATACAATTGCAAAAAGAAATAAATGAACTCCAAATGAGAGATCGAGGATTATAAGAAGAAGAAGACTATGTACAGCAGGGAAACCAAATTTTACATAATGCAATCTCTGCAAGTCACGACAATAGGTAAGTACCGGGCTTGATGGTCTGTCGAACAGTCACACCAAAAGTAACCCCCACGCTTAAGTTTACGATCGCGCACACACACTCAAGGCAAACACGCAGTCGGACTAACACTCTCTCTCTCTCTCTCTCTCTCTCTTGAAGCATTTACCGCCGTGTACGTCGACGTGGGTGCGCGTTTTCAGGAGAATCACATTGTCGTAGTTCAAAATCTCGAATAATTGTATCTGTCCATCGTTCTCGAATTGCGTTTTGGAACTCATCTGGCAATCTCTGTCGAAAAATGACGAACCCGCACAGCCGAGAAAAAACGACATATCCATTGTAACGATTCTGCTTGGGTTCGAGATTTGCACGACCAATAAGCAGATTCATGCACTGTTGCAAATGCTCCTCGAGGCCAACAAAAGTCACAGCCTCTAAAACCAAACAAATAAAAAAATTGACTTTCAATTTCGGACCTCAACACCCAGCTGCTCAGAGTGTTTTAAGATTAGTTTTGGAAATGAATGGAGAAGTGGTGGAACATGCAGAACCACATATTGGTTTACTTCATAGAGGTACGGAAAAATTAATTGAATATAAAACTTATCTACAAGCTTTGCCTTATTTTGATCGATTAGATTGTGTTTCTATGATGACACAGGACGAATAGGCAAAATCTCTGGACTTCAATATCCAGAAACCTTGGGTCAAATTCATTTTTGGATTACTTTCTTTGGTGTGAATTTGACTTTCTTTCCTATGCATTTCTTAGGTCTTGCGGGCATGCCACGACGCATTCCGGATTATCCAGACGCTTATGTCGGATAATGCACTGAGTAGTTTTGACTCTTATCTTTCTGTTGTAGGAACTTTAGGTCAAAGTGTCAGATTGTGAATTTGAAAACACGGATTCAACTCTCGTTATTCGCCTCTTGCATCTGAACTCTGGCGAGCCTAAATCCAGTCAAAGCTGGCGTCAAGACAGTTATTCATTGACTGAAGTGAATGAATCTAATCCAGCCAAAGCTGGGGTCAAGACAGTTATTCATTGACTGAAGTCAATGAATTTAAGTTAATTGATTCAAACAACCACATAAAGAGTGAGTTGGGTACAACAAATAAACAAAAAATTGCTGAGATATAGAGATTTTTTCTAAAGTAGTAGTTTTTTTTATATCCATGTGATTAACCAAAGTATACTGATAGTGATCGTATAATAAGACTAGATTCTTTTGAGATTCTAAATAGGATACATTTTGAAGCAGTATGACGATTTCCGTGAAATTACAAGATTAGAGTGTGCATCCAGCTATATTGGGAAAAAAATCATTTACATTATTTGGATGGATCAATCCCAAGGGAAGTCCTGTGTTGATTTGATAAATATTAGCAAGAGGATCCCTTAGAGACTATGAAAAAATGTAGATAGGAGATATGGAAACAGTTTTAACAAGTACGTCAGCAATCAATTTGTCTCGTAAAAAATTAAAACAAATATATTTGTCGGATCAATGTAAAGCAATTATTTTAGGATYTCTTCTGGGAGATGGTTCACTCAAAATATTCAATAAGAATGCAAGATTCTTTATTCGACATAGCCAAATTCAAGAAGAATATTTTCTATGGAAGGCTAGTGCACTGCAAGAAATATCACCTTCGGTACCTTCTGAAAAAAGTGGTTATAGTCAAAATACAAAATTGTTATTTCAAAGTCGTGCTCTCCCTCAACTAACAGAAATTCATAAAATAACACCTCAAAAAGCGTTGCGGGTCCCGGCCACCGGCTCCTAATCTCGGCGACTGTCAGCTCCTCGTCGCGGAAAGGATCAGTATCTGTCCCATTTTCAAATACTATTGCGTTGGTCCGCACGCCAGCCTTGCATCGTCGACGGTCCATGTATTTGAAAGGGTGAATATTGTTCTGTCGCTTATGTGTGATTTTTTTAAAATTTACAAAACAGAACATTACGGGCACCGATTACCTTAGTACTGTACCTACTGTATCTCCACATAACGAAAACGAAAATAAATTTCAGAACGCAAAGTAGACAAAAAAATTTTTTTACTGAAAACATATAACAAACACATGGGAGATAGGGCTTGCATATGTATAAAGAGAGAATGTACAATCATTGAAACCATCATTGTATCTCTCTCCAACAACGAAGAAACTAAGAAAAAAATTAAGGAATGGTACTCATCGTTGGGTCGTACTGCAAGGATAAAACATGGCAGAGAAATCCTCGCCATTAGAGACAAAATAGGGCGGTGACACGACCAGGCGTCAGACGCTGTCCCGAGCAACCGTCCCGTAGTGTGTGGAGAGTATACGATGCACAAGGGGGAATACGATATCATACATGAAATCACCGTCGACCGCTTTGAGAT